TTTATCCATTATTATATATATATATATATTTAATTATATAATATATATTATATTATTATATATATATATATTATATATATATACTATATATACTATATATATATATATATATTATATATCATATATATATTATTATATATATATATAGTTATATAAACTATATTATATATATATATATATATATATAATATATATTATATATATATATGATATCATGGTAATGTTTTCCTATTGGGACACATTAGATTCTCACCTAATGACGCGGCGCGCCTAAAATGCAGCATCATTGCCATAATTTTTTTACGATGCGCGCGGGCTCCCTTGAACTTGATCTAAACAGATTTTTAAACACGGCAAACAAAGGCACCAATTTTAGGGTGAACCCGTATATAGATTTGAGCCTATACGTTAAGCGCGTGCAAAAGTTGCATATTCATATGCGAAAACCGTTAAAATTAGCGATGTGAGTGGATGAAGGGTCAAAAGATGACCGAGTTCGAACACGTCAAAAATTAGTGTGTTTTGATTTAAGAATCGTGTAGATCAGTTTAACTGTAGTGCCATCGTAAAAAAAAGGGTAGTGATGTGATTTTAGCTACCGGTATCGCTAGGTGGCGATCTAAGGCGTTGTACACCTTAGGACATTTATACTATATATATATATATTATATATTATATATATATATATATATATATATTATATATATATATATATATATATATATATGGAAAAGTGTTCCTAAGGTGACGCCTTAGATAATCATCTAAGAACACGATCTAAAATCACATGATTGAGCTACATTGTGGATGATCCACTCTGTTAAACTTAATCTACATATTCTAAAATCCCAACACACCAAGTTTGAGGTGAACCCATCGTCGTTTGACCCTCAGTCGAGCCATGTGAAAAGTTCTATTTATTCGAAACCGTTAAAATTGATAAGAGTGTATGAATGGTCAAACGACAACGGCTTCACCCCAAACTTGGTGTGTTAGGGTTTTAGAATATGTAAATCAAGTTCAACAGAGGGGATTATCCACAATGTAGCCGAATCATGTGATTTTAGGCCACGTCCTTAGATGATTATTAGTAGATGTGATTTACTACACATGAACTAGTTAGAAATAAAAATTCAAATGATTTCGACGTGTTTGGATTATATATCAAGAGGCGAAAATTAACCAACTTCATAAAAATTCTTAAATGTTGATTTTGATGACATATTTTGCATAGATTAATGATGATAAAATCTTTTGGAATTTTGTTTCTAACTACTTCATGTGTAGTATACCTGTTTGGATTTTTATTTTTGGGCTCCAATTTTCAAAATTGAGTTGATAGTATCTGCATGTTGTTACGTGACCATGTAGAGAGTTTGTGTAGCGAGTTTTAGGCTAATAGGCTAATAATCCCAACAGTTGGGCTTATGTCATTCATCATAGAATATTCATCGAGCTTAATTGTTCAGTCAACTTAGGCTTATTAAGTTAAAATCACTTATGGAATTCATGATTTTTATACACGTTTTCACACTTTTCTAGAAACAATTTTTTCCCTTCTTTTTATATTTAAATATTTATTGGCATTTACTAAGATCAAAAGGGACTTGAGAAAACAATATTCACTTTAAGTTAAGCATGGAAAAAATTATTATTTCAAATAATATTCTAGGTTAGAACTATAATAGGGTATAATACTTGAAATTTATTTTTTAAAATTTTATTTAAAGTTATCATAATAAGGCTAGCTTAAATATAAAACTAATTAATTATTAATCAATTTTATCAATTTGTCAAGTGAAAAGTTTTTAGAGGAAAAGGAAAAGAAAAATAAAAGAAAAGCTAAGGAATATAAGAGAAGAGAAAAGACAAGTAGTCCCCACTCTCACACCTCAATTTTGCGTTGTCCTTACTACAAATTATATGATATGAAAAGTAAAGCAGATAGTAAATAAAGTACATACATTATATGTTTATTCTGATGTTTTTGAATAAAGACAAAATGGTAAACTCTATAATGACCTTAGACTCTTATATGCATATATTGATAACTATACAGGAGGAGAATTAGCCTTAAGAAAATTTCCTTATCTTTCTTCCCCCCCACCCCCC